GGTCAAACAGAATGAAAAAGAAACAAGGGCTGAAAAACAAAAGGAATAAATGAAACCATGAATGCATGGGAAACAAATTAACTGGATATGTTTTACGTTCTGAAATATTTCCATAATGCTTCTATGTAGTGTGTGTTTATTTTTCTTTGAATAATAATGTTAAAATGTGTCTAATTCAATTACTCTCTGCATTCGCTGAATGAGTTTTCCTTGGTGAAGAGTTCTCCTACGCTACCCCAAGCTACGAATTCCATATGATATTTGAACAGGTCCTTTTAATTGCTGATATTAAGTGTCGATCATTCTGCTGTAAGTTGGCAGCGTGGCCAGAGAAACAAATTCCTCTCTCAGATACATCAGACAGTCATTCAATTAACGACTAAAGCTTTATTGACACAGTAGGAATTCATTATGTGAAATATTAAAAAAAGCCCTCCACTGACTAGTTAAAAAAAAAGAGAAAGAGACTTTTAAAGATGGTGGATTAGCTACATGTAGTTATTAAAATTATTCGTGCAGAATTTGAAATTATAGTTATGGTGGAAACATTTTTCTCAGAGGCACAAGCAGCATTTCTGTTGAAAAATAAGTTGGACTTTGAAAAGATGAATATAATGTACGCATCCTTATTTCCATAGACATTGTGCATTTTCTTGATTAAAAGCCTTAGATTTTATGAGTTATGACTTTAGACTTGCTGTATAAAGAGCTTCATGGCTTATTCTGTTAGAGTCTAATTTGAAAGAAAGTTCTTCCTCAAGGGTTTAAGAAGTAATTCATAAAATGGTAAGAATAATAAATATTGTGCTTTAACTCATACGCTAGGATAGATAGACAGATTTTGTACACCTGGGTGTAATTTTAGTTAATTCACACAAGAGACAGGCTGAAAGTTTATTGTTTGGAAGGAGAAAAATGGCTTAAATCTTGTATTTGCAAAAATGATTATATTAGCTTAAATGAAAATGCTAGTCTATTATTGGCTTCAATAAGCTTTGCATTTGGCAAAGTATTATATTAAAAAGTTACCTGAAGTTTACTGCAACTTAAAATATGTAAGTGAGGGAAAAGTACTCACTTTGATTTATATGTCTTTTGGAGGTGTAATTATTGGCTTTTTACTCACCTATGTAAAACAATGTACTTTTGTAAATGGATTTCTGGCCACTTTACTCCTTTTTTTTTCACATAAAAAGTAAGCACTGTCAATCAAAGAATTTTAAGGTTTATTTCCTCTTTAGAAATGATTGATAGCCTTTTAGATTTACAAGTTGACAAGTTAAAGGGTTCTATCGCTATAATTATGTACTAAATTCACAGTCTTTCAATTTAAATGTCCTTTTAAAACCGCAAGATTATCATACCTGTATTTTGAAAAGTGGGCCAGTCAGTTTGGGTTGGTATACAAATTGCTTCCATTAGCCTTGGGACCTATTTGAATTTAATACAGTTTTCTAAAGTTCGTAGTACTTTCAATAGTACTTTTAAAATTTAGGGTAATGGGAATGCATTTTAAGTACAGTATGTGTTAGCTTGTTTTTAATGTATGGATGTCAAGAACACAAATAGAGAGTTTGTATTTCTTATTGATTCTTTTTTTCCAATCATGGAAAAAAAAAACGTTCTTTGAATTAGAGCACTGGGAAATACGTTATGGTGAATGGTCTTCAAAGGCAGAGACCAGGCTCGCACATAGTGGGGACAGAGGCAGAACCTTGCATGAAGCTGGTATCTGACCTCGTACGTTAGCTGCCACTAACGGTGGCCTGAGCACTGGCTTTTCTGCAACGCTTGGAGATCAGAATATCACCTTTTCTTTGGAGCTTTGCCAGCCACTGACGCAGGAACTGGTGTGGCCTTAACGCTGAAGGTGGGGTTAAATATTTAAACAGGGCTCTTTCTTTGAGATATGACTAATTACATTTGACTTGGATTATAAATGAACTGAGGAATCGAGGGCTGATATCGTCCAATCTGTGGTTACATGTTCAGGCAGCTAAAGATTTCTTTTTTTCATTTTATCTAAGATTGAAAGGGTTGAATGGTTATAGACTAATGAGCGATATTTGACAACTACAGTTTAGGACCCAGTCTTGCAAATTGCTGTGTGCAGCCTCTCCCCACCACTAAAGTAAAGCTGAAGCTATTTGAAGCAGAAAGTTTTCAGTATCTCTCAGAGGATTCTTGATGCCTTGTGAGATTGGACCATAAAATTAACATTTTTTTTGGTCATTTAGTTCAGAAAATACTCACAGGAAATACTCTGTGGATTTCAAATGTGTTGAATGTGTGGGAAGATATGAGAAAATGACTGCTATCTCTTGGGGGATTTCAGAACTGGCCTCCATTTATAATATTGCAGAATTTAGTAACTACTTTCCCAAAGGATGTAAAGGGAAAATGGCCATAAACTAGACTGAATTAGAGAAGAAACACATTTGACAGAACCACGCTAAAATCTTCTAACATATTTGCAAAAGAAATGTAAATTAGAACTGTAGGGGGTTTTTTAATCTTCCCAGAGAACAGCTATTTTTGATAATAAATATAAATAGCAGTAAATTAATTTATTGTAAAATTTGAAGAAGGTCTAAACTAAACGGCTCCACGATAAGAAGCCATGTATGGAAACTCAAAGATAATGAAACCGGTAAACTAAACGCTCCACGATAAGAAGCCATGTATGGAAACTCAAAGATAATGAAACCGGGGATTTACAAACCCAGGTACTGTGATATTTTCTGCAAAACTACACAACAGAGTGGACAGCATGTGGCCAGGGTGTGAAAGGAAACAAGTGGAAAAGAGGCCCAACGATCCAAAACCCAAAAAGGGCACAAGCAGGGGAAAAGCCTTATTCTCACCCCTTCCATACAATGACCTGAATATAAATAAAAGGTCAAATTCAGATGTTCCTGATAAAGGGAGATGCACACAAAAAAATAAGGAGACTAGAGGGATGCCATGATCTTTGGGGCAATAAAAAACTTCTGACAATAGCCCAGAAGGTAAAGTCCTGAAAGATTTCTAGTCTGGTGTTACCATAATACTGTAACAGTAATTTCAGGATATGCTCAGAAGATTCCTTTCCGATACTAGAGAAATGTTGAGATTCTGCTGGACTGTGTGCCTCTCCAGCCAGTCCCCATCAGCCACACACTTCTTTTTCACTGCTGTTGGGTAGATCTGGATTCCCCTACACCACCTTCCTTCTGCCTCAATTTGCAGTAGCATCGCTGGGCCTGCTTATGGAGTTGGTACATACTGAAGGACCAGGAGGATATAAAAATCTGACCCTTTGGTTGCCAGTAGGACCATCTGCTGTAGAAATGTGGTTTGAAAAAGATAACTTAAATGGAACAGTTTCTTTAAAAACGGGACTGTTTTGTGGGATTGCTTATGGAACACCAATTAATTAAAAACAAGCCAGGGATTAGATATTACTTTCACAATAACAATGTGGTCTGGCTAAAGATCTTTAATGTTAGGAGTATGAAAAAATGTTCTCTTCACTTAAAAGGTGGAAGTATGGACAAATTGTGCCATGTTGATCAGACTGATGGAGTTGTGTACCTTGCTGTGGGATAAGCATCATTGAGCCACATGAGAGTGCTTACACAAGTGAGACTGGGAGATATAGTTTGATGCTAAAGCTCTTTGCAAGAATTAGATGGCATCATTTTAGCCACATAATAAAGTTCATAATAAAACCATCATAAAGGTGCCAGATATAGTCATAATTTCATAGGCAGACCTTGTGCAAAAAACAAATTTTTTTTGCTATTAATAAGCTAAGACAAAATAAGAAAAAACTTTAAAGTGCCCCCCCCCCAAAAAAAATTTAGATTTCCTTCCCACCAAAAAAAAGGCTGAAAATGTAAAAATCCATATTGGAAATTTTTTTTTTCCACTTAACTCAAAAAAATCGCAAACAAATTGCTGTGGAAAGTTTCATCATCTCTATTGGCATGGGAGAGTCAAGATGCGCTGTTGTTTAGAGATGCCTGAGAATGCTTGACTGTTGTTCTAGTTCACCAAAGCTCTTAGGAAATTTTAAGCACATGTTGAAGTCTCACTAACATCTGAGTATTAAAGTGATCATATGACTGGAAATATAGCTAGAAGGTCATTCAGTGCAGTCCCCTGTAATTATAGGCAATCATATAAAAAACATAATATGCTCAAATTTGCTTTGCTGAAAGCAAATGGGTTTAAGTATGTGCTTACAGATAAGCATGTGCTTAAAGGCTTGGCACAATCAGAGCTTCGATTAATGCAGGCAGACCAGCATTTTCATGAAGATTAAAGTGTTCCACTTCCACCATTTCTCTCCTCCATTTTATTGGACAAGGATTGAGGAAAGATGAACTAAAAACATAGATGATTTTTTTTTTAATTCATTAAGTCTTTTGGATCAGTTTAGTGCTGATCGGAGCCTGAGCCGAGCTGCTGAAGTCAGTGTGATGAGTAAAAACTAAAGCCTCTGCCAAGACAAATGCCTGTAGTTCACAACAAAATTATATGTGATCATTGCACATGGAGCATATTAAATGTATAATAGAATCTGGAAGAAGAGAGACTCCCTAATAGTTACTTCTTTTGTCTTTCAATCACAAAGGACCTTCCTTGTAATATGAAAGCAGGAAAAAACCTAACATGAAACATGGAGTGCAAAGTATTTATCAAATTAATTTCATCGTGGCTTTTGGAGATAATAATCGCTTCCTATTTGGAAGATGTATGCAACATCCCCAAATTTTCCAGCAACCTTGTTTTAGGAACTCAAGTGGGAAGGTTTGCATTGCTGTTTGAACCAAAGCCTCAGAACGAACCTCAAATAGTGTTTGAACCAAGACTTCAGAGTCGGTGCTGATTTCAGTAAAAGGCAATTTTGCTGTGATCCTTCCTTGGTCTTGCAATGCATTGCCAATCGTTACAGTGCAACGGAGACTGCTCGCTATGCGTTTGTCACATCACAATGTTGTTTGTTGTTGTTTCAGCTCTGAACGAACCCACCATTGACTATGGTTTCCAAAGGTTACAGAAGGTTATCCCCCGGCACCCTGGTGACCCCGAACGCTTGCCAAAGGTCAGCACAAAGTTTATTGTTTTATTAAATATGGTAAAGCTGGTTACTGCATGTTTTTGTCTGAAAGTGCAAGACTGTAAATGGAATGGTCCTGGTTTGGTACCCAACCCAGATAAGCTGAAACAGAGACATGACCGATAAAGCCCAATCAGCAACTTTCGTTGTAGGCTTATAAGACTTCTGTGACTTTCTGAGTCACAGCTAACTCAAACAGCTCTTGCCTTTCTTAAAAGCATATCTTACTCTGTGTTCTGAAATACTTAACAAAGAACACATTTTTGGTTGGTATTTTGGAACCTGAGCAGCTTATTCATAGAAGAATGATGCTTCTTGGTTTTGGTGTCACAGTAGTACTTGCCATTATAATTTTGAGAACTTCACCATTGATAAAATCAAGTTATTTTGATCTTCAGGGAATGTGTGTCCATTGCTGCTGCACCATGTATTGGTTTAGGATAGTAATTATTATATACTGCTTTATTTCAGGATTGCTGAAATAATTAGTGCAATGCGTAGTGAAGTGATTTGATGTTCGTTCCCATCAAAATTAGTGGGAGTTTTTTTGTTGATTTCTGTCAAGTAAAAGCTGAGGAAGAAACAGAATAGTTCACATAGGCTTCTAGTACTTCTGTCTTGTACTGTGAAAATGCTGTCTGGGTCTGCACTCACATCTGTTCTTGCTACCTTGCCATACTGTACTTTCCCTGGCGCGAATTTGTGGTGAGTTTTGTGATATACTGGAGAAAGAAGTGGGGTATTTGAAAAAGTGTTGCTCTTTGCCACAGGAACACTGAGCAATAGCGTGTGTGAGCTGGAGTCACTGTATGTGACCAACTGCCACCACGTGTTTTATCTGCTCTAGCATCATGGCTGTTAGTGAGTGAGTCGGGGAGTCAAATAGGTCAAGTGTGTGTATTTGGAGAACACCGCCTTTGACTTAGGGAAAGGAAGATGTGGATTTGCAGACCTGAGACATAGAACAAATTGGGCTTTAATGCCTTAGGCCAGATCCCTCAAATAATGCATGTCCAGTATAGCCTTTGTGACTGAGTAAATCTTGTGACCTTTCTTCTGTAGCTTCCTGAGCTGTCAGTAGGCTTTCGTCAGGGATTGTTGTGCGCTTTGATTAGTTAAATTTCTAAAGTGTTTCAAAGGTGAGAAGATTTCATGAACACTGTAATTATTTTGTTTTATTTCTTGACAGAAATAAAATTCACTATGTGATTTTTTTTACAGGCTTATTAAGTCTTTTATCTTTGCCTAGGAAGGCTGTAGACTGTGGTTTCGGGGTTGATGATGTGTTGTCCTTCCCTCTTACCACCAGAGAAACATGCTGTCCTGGAGAGTTACATTTTACATTGGCTCTGTTCACCCCTTACAAGCTGTCCCTTTCTCTGACTTTTGGATGGATTTGTGGCAGGACACAGCTTTCATAGGTTGTCGAATTTCCCTCCAGAGGTACAACCCTTTCCAAAGAAAGGGAGTATCCTTCTGTAGGGGCTCTTTCATCTGTATCGTGCCTCTGCTGCCAAATGTGCATGTGGAGAAAAAATATTTCTCAGAGAATAAGAGACCAGCCTTCACTATGCACCAGGCATTTGCAAGGCCCAAAAGAAATGCTGCAAAACTTCCCTGAACCCAGTGTTCCAGCTGACAAGTAGATGGCCACGGCTTTCCTCTAAATCATGAAATTCAAGTAAAATAAGACTGAGCAATTCCAAATTGGGTTATACAGCCGGGGGTTGTAGTGCATCAACAACTTCCACAGGTACGGGGCTCCCTTTCTGACACCCACGGCACTGAGGGGTTCCCCAGCAATGCTCTTTTGTGCTGGTATGAGAATGCAGCCATCAGGCTGAGCACCCTCCTCTTTCCCATTTAGACTGAGACTGTTACCACACTGATAACCACACATTCCTGCTATCTAGTGTCATGGGACATAAAAACAGGCAGAGGAAAGTTCCATCTAGCTCCATATCCTGACTCCAACATTTAGCAGGTATTTATGGATCGGGTATGAGAAATGAGGGTTAGTACTGAGTCATCTGTCCCCTCCTATACCCTCTTGGCTTAATGTGTTTGTTCTGAGTATCTTTTCAAGCTATTTTTTCAAATCGTTAAATCAAGGGAAATTGTGGTTATGTATGCAGAGGTACTATGTGATGGCCTAAAAAAAAGTTACTGCTTAAGGACTGAACAAACTCAGTGAAGAAACTAGTATCACTATGCAAGGTTAGAGGGAAACAGGATGAAGAGGACCTTTTTTTTTTTGTCTTTGGGTAATTCCTTCTGTGCAAGCTTGAAGGTTGGACCTCAAGTTCAAGACTCATTAATATGCCTCGCACAGAGGCTGTATGCAGCAGGGGTTGGCACATGTCGACTTCTGTATTTGAGGCACTGATGGTTCAATTCCCAGCATCGCTTGCTGGCTCCAGGATCATAATCAAGGACGCAGCGAGTCTCTGTGCTGGGTGAGCACTGCACAGCGCTCTTCCCCATGTCATTAAACCAGGAAGGGCTTTGGCAGTATTCCACTATAGACAATTCTCAGTGGCTACTTAGAAGAGAGTTGGAAGCCATATGGCTTCCACAGTGGAACCACGGGCAGAGAGGGCAAACGTGTGAGAGAGACAGAGAGCGAGACAGCAGAGAGGAGAGCAGTGCTCAAAGCTTTCAATATCCTTTTCTCCATTTTCTCCATTGTCCTGCCAGTGCATCATCAATTTCTGTTCATTAAAAAGCTTGTACTTACGCATTAAATAAATAAAACAAAACACATTTCTATAATTGCTGCTAGGGTTTGTGGGCATTATTCCTTTGAAACATTACTGATGAATTAGAGATCTTTCAAGAAACAGAAATGGTTATAATTTTTGTGTTCATAAGGCATGCAGTCCTTCCCATGAACCAACAAGAGCATTCTGCTGTGTGACTTATCCCTGCAGTCAAGGAGAATTGTGATGAGAATTGTCTCCTCCCATAATGAGGAGAACGGGAGCACCTGGGAACCAGGGTCTTTGGACTGCTAGACTGACAGTTGATGTAGAGATATGTTTAAAGTAGAAATGCAATATATAGGTTCTGGAGAAAAAAGCATGGGAGCTGATGTTGGCAGCTGAGCTACGGAGCCAGCTATGGGCCAGAGTCCTGTTCCCTTCTTGTACAGAGCAGGTCAGGAAAAGCAGCCAGTGCAGGGTTTTCACTAGCAGATGTGCATGTCTGTACATACACACACACACGCACAAACACATGCACCAAGAGGAGAGACAGGCAGTACAGAGGTGGTGGGATTAGCACCCAAAACTTGGAGTGAGATCAAGTACCAGGAGTGTGCTGGGCAGTATAGTCTTTCCTTTCTAATACAGAGAGGAAGCAGATCAGAGGAAACAAGAGATCTGTGGGGAGAAGTGAAAGAAATACCGTGATGCTAATGCTAAGAAATCGTATCGTTGTCCTGTAGGAGCAGGCTGTAGAAAGCCTGCCTGTGGAGCTGGGGAATAAGCCTGCACGTGTGTGTGCAATTTCCCCGTCTCGTGTGTTTGCATATGTGCACACAAATACACACGTGTTGTTGGTTCTTGCATACAGAACTGCAGTGGAAATCACTAAAGAGTTCAGATCACAACAACGTGTTGAGTCTATTTAGGTTCGTTCATGTAACTACCCTACAATCCTTAAAATAAATCCCTGGCAGATACGTTGCGATTCTGCAATTTTGTTAAAACTCCACAGCTATAGCTGTAAAACAGTTTCAACTGTGAGCTAGATTTGAAACACATCCATCCTAAATGATTTAATAACAACGATTCCTCTTTATATGCAATTTCCTAGAATTTATTTGCCATTTTCACCACCCTTACAACTCATCACTTGTATTTAAATTAAGCACAAGATTGTTCACTCTGTGTTTGAGAAGCAAGTCATTGCATCGACCCCCTCCGTGTTCTGACATCCTCTCCCTCCCAGTCTGTTGCTTACATGCTCTCTCTAGGAGACCCCTTATCCCTCCTGAAAGGGACCTTTACTTCTGGTTTCTCTTCATGTAGATGAAAGTGGAGCCTCTCTCTCTCTCTCACACAGGGGCCTCCCTGCTGAGCGGAGAGCACACGTAACCAGGCTCCACCTTCCCTTCAGCTCCTTTTCTCTGGTCAGTCATTAGACCCCCCCAAGACATATCCCACCTCCTCATTTGGGACACTAATAGAAGACAGGTGGTTATTAGGAACCAGTGGCTGGCAAAAGCAGTCGTCTTTTCCCATATGAAATCCCACAGATCTGCCCTTTATCCATTGTGACACGGGTATTGTTTATATTGCAAATAAAGGTTGTCTCTAAATGTGGGTGGGTTGGCCCAGGCTTGCTAGTGGAGGTTAAAATAGCAATGAAGACAAGGCAACTCAGGTTTGCTGCTTCAGACAGACCCAATGGAAATTCCAGAACGGGTCTCCATCTGCTAACTCAAGATACTGTATTTTAACCTTGGTTAGTCATTTTCAGCTAAGAAAACACATATTTTAGGTTTTTTTCCACCCAGTGTAACAAGAGGGTTGTTAGTTTTATACTAAGTATGGGCAGGAAGGGGGAGCATGTGAAGAGGAGCTGTTGGAGTTCATCTGTATAGCAAGGAGGGCATGAGATGTGCTTGGCGGTTTCTACACTGTACTGTAAAATTTATAGGAATGTGAGACCAGAGTTAAGGTTGGTATTGAACCCTTAACAGTTGGGGTTTTTTCATTTCCTAACAATTTGTGCATTTCGTTGGTTGAGGGGCTTGTTTGGGTTTTTTAGGTTTGGTTTTCGATTTATCCTATTGGAAATATTCAGGGAGAGAGTTTCAAAGCTATTGAGAAGATGAAGACCAAGATACCTGAGGCTACTATGAAAGTATCACCCTTATGGGGTGGTGCATGTCAGAGGCATGTCTGGGAATATGCAAAGAGTCTGAAATGAGAGAGCACTAAGAGACGGAGCCGCACTGCTCGCTGAAGGGCAGAGCCACA